AGAAAAATACTTGTGTCTTTGCCTCACTCACTTTTAAGCCCGAGATAGCGCAAAAACTATCGAGTACCTGCTTCAAAATCATAGCTTGCCCGTCCGAGGCCTCCAAAAATAGAAGCAAATCGCCTGCAAACATTAAAAACGGGACTTTAAGTGTACCTCTCCCAACTGAGATCGGTCGCCAAGCCCTCCGGTCAACCGACTCGCAAATTCGTTGTGCCAATCTCTCCATGCAAAGCACAAAAATATAAGGCGACATGGGATCCCCCTGGCGGACCCCTCTCGTGGGCTTAAACCCTTCTCCAATCGTACCATTCCACAGCACATTCATCAAGGCCGAGCTAACACAGGCCATTACTGCCATAACGAAACTGTCAGGAAATCCGGCCATTCGGAGTGTGTCTTCTATGAAGTCCCACCGAAGAAAATCATAAGCTTTCTCGAAGTCCACCTTAATAACCATGTACCCCTTCAGCCCACGTTGTCTACGCATAGAGTGTATGAATTCTTGGGCAACAATGATGTTATCAGTAATCTGCCGGCCCGGGACAAAGCTGGCCTGGGCGGGGTGCACTAGATCCGATAGGATGCCCTTCATACGATTCACTAATACTTTAGTGAACAACTTATATATAACATTGAGGAGGCTAATAGGCCGGAAATGCTTAAGAGTGGTCGGATGTTCGACTTTTGGAATGAGCACGAGCAATGTCCTATTCACCTGAGGTGGAACAATACCCTCCAACCACATGCGCCTAATGAACGTACAAACTACGGGCCCGACGATCCCCCAATTTTGTTGGAAAAAGAGAGCATTCAAACCATCAGCTCCCGGTGCTTCCAGCGGTCCCATACTACGAAGGGCTGAGTAAATATCCTCATCAGAGATAGCTTCGGTCATAGCCCCCATGGCAGTCTCGTCACAGGCCGGGAATAGGTTGGCCCACGACTCATTCTGCACGGGAGGCGACCCGGCTGTATAAATGGACGCGAAGAAATTCGTAGCTAAAGTACGAAGAGTGGTCTGATCAGTGACTTGTTGCCCTGCATCATCCGTTAGTTCGTTTATTTTATTCCAGCGCCGCCTATTTTTAATTTGTCGGTGGTAGTAAGTCGTGTTTCTGTCACCCAAATAAGACCAATCTCGATTGGATTTTTGAATCAGGAGGAGTTCCTCCTGCCGAATAACCAACTCGAGCTCCTTCCGGAGTTTTTTCTCGAGTCCCGCGAGATGACCCCGAGAGTAGAAATGGCGGCTTCGCTGGATACCTCCTATCCGGTCCAGGAGTGTTTTCTTGCGACGAAAGATATTACCAAACACCTGGGTGTTCCACTCCGTTATCCTATCAGTGAAAGCGGTGGCGGCCTCCTCAAAGCCGAGGGAGGGCTCCCACATTTCTTGCAGCACTTTATTGAAGTCGGGGTGGAGGAGCCAAGCGGCAAGTGGTCCGATTGCACTCGTGGAAGTAGACGTACCCGGCCAAATCCTAATAAGAGAGGCGAGTGGTCCGATTGCACTCGTGGAAGTAGACGTACCCGGCCCGTATCGAAAGTCTCCATCCAGGGTATATTAGCGACGAACCGGTCGAGCTTTTCAGCCACCCTCCCATTTCGAGTGTCACGGACCCAGGTGAAAAGATGCTCGTCGGTTTCAACCTCCTGTAAGCTATGATTAAAGAGCCAATCTGCAAAGTCCTGGCTCAGATTGCAGTGTCTCGAGGAGCCCCCGATTTTCTCAGACCTTCTAAGCAAACAATTAAAGTCCCCTCCAATCACCCAAGGCTCCGAAATTCGATTCGCCAGACTACCCAAATCATTCCATAGTCTCTGGCATCCCGCTACATTGGGGCTGGCATAGACAAACGTCACTAAACATCCCACATCCCTCGTAGAGATCCGAGCATAGATCAGCTGCCTTGAGTAGGAGAGAACTTCGAGTCGAACTTCATCTTTCCACAAAAGCCAAATTCCCCCGGAGAAACCCTGAGCTTCAATGCGAAACGAGTTCTCAAAGTTACTGTAGCGAACAAACTTATCTGCAATTTCCCCACTAACGCGTGGTTCAAATAGGGCTACTACATCCGGTCGATGCTGTTGGATAAGGGTAGAGAAAGCTCCCCGAAATTCAGGCGAGCCCGCCCCCTGCACATTCCAAGTGATGATATTCATAATGAACAAACGAGAGTTAGATAGACCATCCTCTATTGATCAGGTTACTGGACAATC